TCATTCATCTGCTTCCAGATCCCTGCGTTTTCATTACGCGTTCTAGTTTCATTAATCAGGCAAGGGTTTCCAGGTTTCCACAGTCCTACGGTCATCCGTTTTGATTTCGTCTTCAGATAATACAAATCTACTAGTAGATGCTGAGTTTGAGCATATCAGCAAGAGGTTACAGCGGAGCAGGTATCCAGTCAGGAATCAACCTCCCCCAACCCCCGGGTCACGGACCCGTTTGGTACCAGGCCGTGAGAGTTGAGGCTTGGGTGTGAAATTTATGGTTTTCAGGGTTTTTATTGTCGCTAACTCGGTTTCCCTTTTCCCGTGTGTTATGAATAAATCTTTTTTTTTGGTACGGGTTTTATTTTGTTGTATTTATCCACGACACCTTAAAGGCCGGTCGGTGAAAATATTGTCAGGCATAAACCGGTCCGTGGCGCAGAAAAGGTTGGGGTCCGCTGCTCTAACAGTGGCTTTCTAGCTTTTCTTTCTTTTTTAAATATAATATGATGCAGGTTGTTTTGGGTTATTTCTTTTTTTTGTTCTTTTGGTTTTGGATGGGGTGTCTAAAAGAGGTCTGGACCCTTGAAAGCAACTGTCCTTCTTGGAGGACAGCAGGGAGATAGGGGTTATTGATTGCTGTCTTCCTCCTCAGTTGACTGTGATAAATTTAACTGTGGAAATCCACTAAAGCCTGATGCATCTCCTGACCAGCCTCCCCCCCCATCATTTCTCCCTCTCTGTCTATTTCCTTTGTCCTTCAGCTGCACTGCTGATCACTGTGGTCAGATATCATATGTCTAATGGATCCTCGGGTTGTATCTCTGCACCACAGGGCTGAGCTGCAGGAACAATGAGTCGCAACTGCTTCGGAGGCACATTTTAAAGGCTACAATTAGGTTATGATCAGAGTAATTGCTGGTCATTATTTTGTTCTCCGCCCCAGATATGGTAGAGATTCCTTGCGGGTTGTTGCTAACATCTTTCCGGCATGGCGTTGGAGGTTGGTGGTGTCGT